TGCACTTAAACATTGTAAATTGATAAAACAATTAAAGTACATTTTATAAACATCAGGGTACTTGAATGTCAGCTGGTGATGTAATGAAAACATCTTTATATTAGATAAACTATAATATAAAAAGGAGTCAACAAATTCTGTCAATATCCACTATATAATAGCTTAACATTTTTGTCTAAAATTTTATTTATTTATTTATTAGAATCAAATACGATCATTTTATGATCTTTGTCTATAACGTAAGTAAAATCACTAGAACTTAAATTTATGTAAATCCTTCCCTAATAATAGATTACACACCCGACAGGCGACTCTCAGCAACTTGCAAAAAAAAATTCAGTGCTTTCCAGGACAACTTTATCTAAAGGGAAGTCTCCAAAAATGTGTCATCATAATGGTCAAGCCTAGAGAATGGATAAATTACATTTCGAGACTCAATTGAACAACAGATGTACTCATTCCGATTTAACAGACACATTTATCAAAGTTTTGTTGATTGCTCCGCGCCCACAGGCGTGGAGCTTTTTATGTTTACAATTTTTTTTTTGTCCAGGTGCCCGGATTTGAGCAATAAATCCTTTCGATTTACAGCTAAAAGTAAATCCGCATTCTAGAACTTCTTTCGATTTCTATAATGGTTTCCCCGTCGGTGATTCGCAGCATGTCATATTAATGAATGAGAACCGAAATACAGTTCTGCTGTTACATAAATTCGAAAGCTAAAAATAGCTATAAATGTTCTGATTTGTTATTTCCCTTTTTAGTAGTACATGAAATCATAATGTGTTACATTTTGAAATACATTTACACACAGCATATCAAGTATACTATTTGTGATTGAATTTGTCATTATAAAGAAGATTTCAGGCACAAGATTTTAACAATTTTGCTTTTGATAATTATTTTTAATTTATATTTATGAAATGAAATGTTTAATAATAACATGTTAATATATTGGTTGTTTTGAAATAATTAAACTTTAGTATATAAGGTTACATTTCATTGTCGTCATTGGTACAGCATAACACTTTGTGAAAAAGAAAAGAAGTTATTTGTATGACTTGTGGTATATTCGGGGGTATGTGCCGTACTCGACAGCGAAAGCTGCATTTAGCAGCCCTACGAGCGGATGGATCGTCAATAAAGTGGACATGTTTGTGTTCACAAAGTCTGTGCAAAGTGAAAGTAGGCCAAAATTCACATAACAACAAAGCTCACATTGTTATATGATGAGCCATTTGCAAGTACACTTCCAATTTTATGTTTTAAAGACTATTTTAAACAAAAATACAAATGATAACAATAAGAAATTAACCTTGAATGGGCTACATTTCTAAAGACCAAAAACATTCTGTTGCAAAGTTTTATGCGCATTTCATGAATGGCAGAATCCAGTTTAAAGTCTATTTTAGTGCCAACAAATGCTATTGTTTACAGAAAATACAAAAAAAACTTTAAAAAACATAAATCTTAGGAAAGTAGTTTATCTGACCTTGAAAAAACATGGCCTCCATGACATGTGTAAAAAAGTAGTACCATGAAAATAAACATCATTTACCTATTTCCTGTGTACATGACAAACAGACACACTTCACTGTTACACATAAAAAGGTTAGATTTTAAAGTTAGATGGTGTTTTCATTTTAATTGTAGTTCATAAGGCTATAAATGATGATTGTTTTCTTGCACTACTTTTTTACAAAAAATAATGGAGGCCATGTGCTTAGAAGGACATGAAATACTGTTTTATTTGGAGTTAAGTTTTGAAAGATTTTTGGTATTTGCTGCAAAAAATAGCTTTTGTTGGCACTAAAACATACTTTAAAAAGAATTTTGCCATTCATGAAATGTGCATAAAACTTTGCAACAAAATGTTTTTGGTCTTCAGAAATGTAGCACATTCAAGGTAAATATTCTTATTGTCATCATTTTTATTTTTGTTGATAATTGTCCTTTAAATGTAAACCTGGAAGTGTACTTGCAAATGGTTCATTATTTTACAATAAGAGCTTTGTTGTTATATGAATATTGGCCTACTTTCACTTTGGACAGACTTTAGTGAAAACAAACATGGCTGACAAAGCGGAATCACCTTAAGCATAGGCTATAGATAGATATCATGACAACAACAGAAACTTTGATCTGCAACTTGAACATAAGTGTAATGTTTTTTTATGAATGGTTTTAAAGCAATTCAACAAAAAATATTTATTGATCTCCCAATAAATTAATTAATAATAGTATTTTTTATATACATTACCACTATCAAATAACTTTCATATCTTTGTCTCGCACGAATATGATATTAGTGAATTTCCTCATACCTACCTAAAATTCAGGTAACAGTCTTCTATTATATTGATAAATACTGTATCACCATGTAACGCGTGTATAACAAACAAAAAAAATCCTGAATTTGGTCTTTTTGAAATTCATCCTATTTTTTCATTCCAAAGTGTGTTCTACTTTCAGTATTGAAAGAAACCTTTTTTTAATTTGACATGAAAAATATGCATGTAATATTAATATATTATAATATAAGTCCCTTTTGTTACTATTTGTATATTTGTTACAATTATAACATACTTTGATATTTCTATCATCTATCTTCTGTTATTGACTACAGTAGTGACAGAACAGTCATGTCATATAACATTTACAAGTCTTGTAAGTCTTGTTTGTATTCAATGGAATTACTTTCCTTAACAGGTAAGCATCAGTGAAAGCATTTTTATATTAAATATTTTCCCCCTCTTTTTAATTATGGACAGTGCATAAGATAAGTATAATTATGCAAAAAAAAGGTTTACAAAACATTCGGAAAAAAACAACAATAGTACTTAATCTGAATATGCGTAGGAATAATTTGGTAAGGTATCTGTAATGAGCACATTTTTTTGCGCGGAGCTTCTCAATTGCTGCATTGCAGCAACATTTGTATTTGTTTGTTATATACTCTCCTTAGCTGTGATTTTCCTGTAATGTATTTAAAGTTTTACAAGCAGATGCTTGATTAATATTTGTATCAAAAGGCCACCTTCAGTTTTAAAATTAAAGCCTTTATCATGAGACTTTTTCTCTTTTATAATTTTAATCCACAATTTTTAAAATAGAAAACTAATTTGTTCTTCTTTTGCTTTTTTCCTTTATTCAATTATTTGAGTTTGGTTTATTACACTTGATATTTAAAAAACATAAGATGATTTAGGGTGCATTTACAGTACTTATTACCTTAATGAAAATAATAAAAGTATAATTTCAGCTTGGAGATTTTGTAATGTTATCTGATACTCGGGCTTATCAGTATACGTAATTAAAGATGTCAAAATTTGTATTCCAGCATTTTCCATATTTAACTGAAGTATTTACACAGCAGCCGAGTATTTGTTTCCCCACTGTTGTCACGAGGCGGGCTTGTTGATACAGTCTATAATGTATGTATTTAAAAGTAAAGCGGCGGTCTTTTAATCTTTAGTTTAATAACATAAATATCTTAAATATAAGCGAATATTTACATACTCATTTATAAAAGCGTGCAAGATCAGCAATAGAGTTCTCAGACATAAGAGAAAACAAAGATTGTGCCCATTGTATGCAAGGTCTTCTTACATAATTGTTAACCCTTAACCTGCTGATTTTCTTAAAAGGACTTGTCCAGTGTGTTTGGCTCTGTCCATATGTAATTATCTAATAAGCCAACAGAAAACAACTTGTTCGGACTAAATCTAATTATATGCATGCTGATCTGGCTGATACTGGTGGAAAACTTTCAACTGAAGCAGGTAAAGAACATAAGGATGCAAAACTTTAAGTGGCAATAGTCTCTCTAATCTAGATAAAATCATATTGATAGAATAGCAGTAGACAGTCATTTTTTAAACCTCTCAAGAAATGTATTTCTGTAGGGATTGTTACATTTCGTTCTTTTTGTTAAGAATGTTTGATTTTAATGTACATAATTTTCTTAAGCCTTAAGTAAAACAGAAATTAGTTCTGCTTTTTCTCTCTCCAGATAAGATCATAACAATATGAAAGCAATATGAAAGTACACCATTTTGTACTTGTTAGTTAAAGCACTACACTCTTTAGTATTAACTGCCCTTTTTACTTAGAACTTTTCTGATGTTTGTATAAATCGAAGTGTAAAATACAGTTTGATAATTTCACTTTGGAATTATCAAAATATATGTTCAATGTATACAAGCTATATTTGACTAAGAATGAAAAGAGGATGAATGAAAATATCCTGACAATGATATTTTGTCCATATTTAAATGTACATGATGATTAATAGCATATAAATAATTGCAAATTCCATGTTATATTGTAACCAAATTTGAGAACTTTACAGACTTAATTTTTCAGCATATATATTGTGATATCTTGAGTTTATACTTTTATGAAGGAGAACATAAGAATACTTAACACCCTCAAATAAATAGATGTTTGTTTGGTTTTTATAAATGTTAAAGAAAATGCTATGTTAAAGACACTTTAAGTCTCATAAAATATCTTCTTCATTTCTGTAGAAAGTGCAAACATGTACTATGTTGTAAGTGTTGATCAATAACATTTCATATGCTAATAGCATGTAATATGAAATTATTTTTATATAGATAGCAAAAATGCAAAATAAGTGGTCTGTTGACTTCGATACAATATACTATATCGCTATTTCTTTACGATTGTCCACAACCCAAAGTAAGCTCAATATGACTAAGCTGTTCGGTCATTTTTAAAACTGTTGCATTTTATCAAATTTTAACAAAATGACATGTTACCATTATTAAGACTAAATTTGCCTTAAAGATAATTTTGTTCATGAATTCAACAGAGAAAGGGGGTTTCAGCAACATGGATAGCCTAAAACCCCTGAATAACCTTTATTTAAATATTCCTTTCATATCGGCAATTAAATAGCCCTCTTAGCATAGATTTTACTATCTACTTGCCAGCGTTAGTACATATATTAAGTGAAAAACATACAAACATGTACTCACCTATTTTTTTGTATTTTTCAACAACTGTTTTCTTCAATACATCTCTAAGTGTCCACAGTGCACCATTGCATACGTTCTTAATTTTCTTATTTTTCGATGATTTCAAATCTACGAGTAAATCAACGACCTCAAGTTCCGGTTTTCCGGTAATGAGTGACTGGTTATCTTCGTCAAAACACAGCGCCCATAGCGCAGAAACACTCTCTATAATAATAATTCATATTTCAAATAATAACAACATATTTATGCTATGAATAAACTTGTAAAATTCATTATCAGTGGCATTATTAAAGGTATGGCATTTTTTGGTTGGGTTTAACGTCGCATGAACACAGTATAAGTCTTATAGCGACTTTCCAGCTTTACTTCTGCAAGAAGATCTCAGGTTCCCCTCTCAACATTATTTCAAGCAAAACCGGGCACTTGAATAAAACCACCGATGGTCTGTTAGCTGGATAGCATTTTCACATGAGTAATCCGAATGGCGTGGCTCAAACCGACAGCGGAGAGTGGCAAGTGGTGAAAGTTTTGCTAGAGACAAGAATAAAGAGACACGGAGAGTGAGTGTGATGAATCTATGTCCAAGGGCTTAAATCAAAAACTTCTCCTATTCGCTACCCTCTAAACAATGAAAGTTTGAACCTTAAAATGAGTTTTAATTTTTTTTAGAAAGCTATAGAGCTAAGTATCTTGTGCTGAATTAACAAAAGCAACAGAAAAGTAAACAATTGATTTCTTTTGACTTTTTACAGCCAATGCAAACTGAACTGAACTGACTTGTTTAATCCACATATTATATCAAATTGTGGCAAAAGCTTATGTTAAGTATCTTTCCAGAATTAAGGTGGAAACCTGTAAGAAGTCGGTAACTTAGTCAATAGAGCAGTGGAATGGTATTCCAAGGCTGGGTTGTGACACATCTGGTTTTTCTTTTTCCCACCCGTAACAGTGTATCACCTTGTGACACACTTAACAGGATTAGAAAAGTCAACTGAGATGAGCTTTATACAATATACAGTAAAAAAAAATATAGATTTGTGAAATGACAGTAAATGTAAGATTCATTTTATCACACCATAATACATGTAAATCAAGATAAAGCCATAAATGTGTGAAATTTTTGTTTTACAGGACATTTCCAAGCAAGTGAATTTGCAAAGAGAAACTAATGGCTATACAAAGTAATGTTCAGTTTCGGTGTGAGCCAAACCTTCATTATGTCTTAAATATGTTATCTCGACATTTCGTTACCTTGATTAATTCCAGGTTCCAAGCGACTTTGAGATTTCGAGAGACTGTTTTACACAGAAAACAAGTGATAACAAAAACATTAACCATTTTTACCTATAAAAACTTACCATACTGTTCATCTTCATCGCCAATTCTTGCCATCTCAACAAGTAATTCCAGGGCTCCAAGTTCTACCAAGGTCTTTATATTAGTATCATTTCTTGCCAGTAACTTGACAACTGGTTAGGAAAAGTTATTGCACCCATTACAAGTGTTAATATGTGCAGAACATGTATTTGTTTTATGTTAAGTCAAAATATGTAATGACCCCTGCCTAGAATATAGATTATTCCCCTTTTACCCTTCAAAGAGTGTTTTAATAAAACAATACAATAAATACAATAAATCTTCAGATACTACTATTTGTGGCATTATATTCCTAATGCATTATCTCAGCTTTGAAGAGTAATCAATAGGCGATAATTACTGTCAATTGCAAGGAAACTTGGAGGTACAAAAGTTAAAACCCCAAAAGAGGCAACATTTTATTTCTTTTTGGTACCAGATATTTGCTAAGTCTAATAAAATTAAATCTACACAGTTCAAGTATTTTAGATTTTGCAAGATTAACCAATACACTTTAAAGAAAATTTAATTTAACTTTGAAAACAGCCCCTTTTAGTGGTAAATTTTAGGGACAATTTTGAATAAGGATTTTTAAAAAGGGAAATTGTCAAGTAAGTGTTTAAAGTAGGTGGAGTAGGGTAACATTTTTATAAATATTAAAAACAATTTGTGTAGAAACAGTCATTTTGCTCGTGTGATTTATTACTTGAATTACTGAAACCTTTTTCATAATGACGATATTGTAGATTTTTTAGAATGTCCTCATTTCTAAAAAGAGGCCCTTCTTATAGCAAAATTTAGTTCAGAAAAACGTCCATAACTAATAAACCATATGGTATTTCTTATGTTATTAAATTTCACAAACAGGTGTCATTTGGTAAGGCATATAACTGTCCTATGTTGTTAATTTTACAGTGCCTTATAGTGCCCTTTAGGGGGTGTCTACCTTAAACATGCTACAGTTCTGTTCTAATAATTATTCTTGTAGAATAAAAAACATAACTGGTTTGGTTATTTTAGCCCAATAAAAGTCTAACAAGCCTATTAATAAAACTTATAAATTTTGAATGCCGAAAAATGACTTAAACGGCTATTTTGTTATTTTGTTCAGTGAATCTAGTACAAAAAAGCTACTCTCAAGCACGCATACACAGTTATTGTTAAGCTTTTTTGGACCGTAAAATGAAAGCAAAATTTAAGTCTTAATGTAAATGTTTAATTGAAATATACTATCATAACAATTTTAAGAATAGTGTCATTTGGAAAAATGCCTTTATTTCCTAACCTTTTCGTGATATAAATTACTGTAAAATCTTAAACAACCGGATATCCACTTTAAGCTTCTATGGGCCGCAAAATGAAAGTAAAATTTAAGTCTTAATGTACATGTTTAATTAAAATATACTATCATAACAATTTTAAAAATATTATTATTTGGAAAAATGCCTTTATTTGCTAACTTTGTCATGAAGTAAAATTACAATAAAATCTTAAACAACCGGATATCCACTTTTTGCGGAATCCTAAATAAACTGGATATTTTACAATGTTTCGGATTCTTCAATGCTTTCATTATTTAAAAGTCGTAACAAAACCGAATACCGCAACACAAAATCGAGATAATGTGTCGATTGTTAACTCGAATTTTACCTCGCAATAAAAAATAAACTTACTTGAAACTTATTCTTGACAGGACCGTCATTCACAACTTCATCCCCTTACTGATACAGTCCAACAAAACATAAAATCTTAGATACCCGGATCGCAACTTCATCAAGTGTTCTAAATAGACCGGATATTTTACAAGGTCTTTGTCCTCTGTTTTCATTATTTAAAAGTTCTCGTACAATCGGAATACCGTCACTCCAGATACGCATTAAAATAGCTAGAATTTGTCGATTGTTTTCAAAACTTTACCTTGCATAAAAAGAACTTACTGAAAACACATTCTTGACAGGACCATCCTTCACATATTCGCATCTTATCTTTCATCCCCTTCCTGATACAGTCCAACAAATGCATTACAATCTCCTTGTTACTTTTGATGATATCACATTCTTCTTCTTTGATTATAGCTATAAGGTATAAATATATATATCTGAAATTCCCAAATGAAACAAAAACTGGCAGAACATTACCAAACTTAATCACCTTCATCTAAAACAAGTGGCAAACGGTTGTTTTTGTGAACAGGAAATTTTACACTCATTGCTTAGTTCGGATTGTTCCTGGAACGGAATAAGATTTTGTTTCCTTGAGCAACCAAATCTACATTCATTGCTGGTTAGTTACAGCCTACTGATTATATCTTATATGAATATGAAGAACTATAATTTATGTTAAGCTGCTTTCCGTATTACTTGTAAAGATATATGTATTTCAATCATACTGAACTGTGTTTTTGTTTATTTTAATAACACTACGTATGGAACGCTTGGACTGTCATATGTTAGGACTGACTGACATCGACCTGTTCATTTGAGATTGGACTTAAGTTGTCGCCTTTGGATGACGTCATTTGGTGATACGGTTGGCATTGCCGGTACGATTAAGTTCATTAGTATCTTGTAAAATGGGCGGATTGAAATTGCCAAAATTTTGTGTAATTGAATAAGATATTACATTAAAACAATGGTCAAATGAATAAACAGTTTTACAATAATAAGGCTACTGATTTGTCTCAATACTAGATCATATGGCTGGGTTATTGATCATGGTTACCATTTTATTTGATACTAAATAATGACAATTGTCGCATTTAGGCAATTAAATCGTATAAACATGCTAATATAAGTACCCAAGAGCAAGTTTGGGTTTCAAAATTATAAGTTTTCTGAAGTTTCGAAACACGGCTGCATAATAAATAATTGCAAGGTACTGATTGAATAGATATTGTTTGGTTTAAGCATAACTGAAAGAAGAAGAAACAATAACATGAATCTGTTTTATTTAAAAAATATGTGAAAATATAAAAGTAACAATTATGTTGAATATACAAGTATGCTATTTGTGTCGGTAAAAAAGCGTTCTCAAAAAATCGTACATCAGGCCAATTGAATGCACTACATATTTTATGAAAGGTTGTAAAGTGATATTTTCACCTTTACATTTTTATGTAATTCATATTCTGCTTATCAAACATTTATAAAAATCAGTAAAAAGAACAAAAAAGGAAATCAAGAGATATAAAACGTACACAAAAATTCGTTATTAAGTGAAATGCAACTGTTCAATGGTACTTTCATTATCTTGTGTGCTAACTATATCTTTTCAGTCAAGTCGATGAGTTGCTCGGTGCAAATATCGTTCAGTTATTAAAAGGATATGTTTCTTGATACTATCGTTATTTATCAAGGTATATTAGTCATTTTAATACACATAAGACAGTTCAGGCGTTCCATAGCTATGCATTCATACTGTGGTGTCCTATAGTGAGTAGCGTTCAACACATAACATATCTTCTTTGCGTGTACTCAAAATACAATGGGTTTATTTTTTCGACAATTAACAAGGAACATTATTATAGCAATTATCAGTACTTTCAAATGTAAGATTAGAGCATAAAATATATGTATATGTCTAAAGAAATATACAACTATATTCTCTCTCATATTTGTTTTCAGAATTGAAAATACAATAATTTTGTAAACCACAAACAGCAGTGTCATGCATATGAAAATACAATAATTTTTCGTTAAAGATCAAAGTGATTTAGAAGTCAAAGTAGTCATACTTAAATTGCTTCGCTTTAATCATAGGAGTGGGTTACTTCCAAATGCTTTTTAAATCAGTCTATGAATAAGAAACAAATGGCAATTTTAGCAAGGTTCAATGACTTGGTCTTATCTGTCAGGCATTTAAGGGTCAAGATCATATCTAAATTGACAATTTTATCGTGGGAGAGATGCTGTGGATTACAAGGGACAGCAGACTATGGACAAACTACCATCACAAAGGAAACGAGTGAGTTGAATAAGATAAAGAGAAGCATATGCATCTTGTATAGGGCCAGGCCAAAATGGAAGATAGTCAAGTCCACAGACGCTTGGGGGTCAGATCCTGTCCCCCAACGTGATACGCCCCTGTAAACACTCTACCAAAACTATTTTAATATTTAAACACGAATGGGACATCTATTACAACGATAAAAATTGTTTTCAAATAATTTTTACATATATGAAAAAATACCGTATACCATCAAGTCCCAATAAAGTAAAGATTGTAGACTCCAAAATGTAAACACGATAACCCTTGTATAATAAAACCTTTATAAATCATTATTAAATGAACCTTACCGTGACTTTTCCGGTGTAAATCAATAGAAAATAGAATTATCTCCTAGATGCAATCAGAATAAACATTTATACATCTCATTGTAATATGAAAATCAACATTTAATTAAAACCGAAAGTAAATTTTGCGTTCTGTCCAACCAATACGAGACCTGATCCCGGCTCTGCGTGGAGCGCTTGTCAAGCCGGTATCCAAACGGTGTACATGCTTTCGACTAGATATCTACTCGAGCATTATATCCTCATGTCCCGCGTATTAGCTGTCTGCAAATGCTCGTTTAAAAGACATTTATTTGTAATAAAACTATTACCAAGATGCACAGTGTGTTGTTTCCCAAGTTTTTTTTATTCTATATTATGTACAATTTAAATATTTTCATATTACAATGAGATGTATAAATGTTTATTCTGATTGCATCTAGGAGATAATTCTATTTTCTATTGATTTACACCGGAAAAGTCACGGTAAGGTTCATTTAATAATGATTTATAAAGGTTTTATTATACAAGGGTTATCGTGTTTACATTTTGGAGTCTGCAATCTTTACTTTATTGAGACTTGATGGTATACGGTATTTTTTTTCATATAATTATGTAAAAATTGTTTGAAAACCATTTTTATCGTTGTAATAGATGTCCCATTCGTGTTTAAATATTAAAATAGTTTTGGTAGAGTGTTTACAGGGGCGTATCACGTTGGGGGCAGGATCTGACCCCCAAGCGTCTGTGGTCAAGTCAACTAAAACTTACGTTTGGTTATTGTTAATAAAACCACAATTTGATCACAAACCTGCCAAACTGGCCAATGCAGTTAATGCATACTGTTTGTTTGGTGACTTGAGATAAGGTATCATACACGAGATCATGTCAGCAGCACGCAGCGAGGACATGTTGGATTCTCTCCTTGACATATTCCAAATTACTCCTAGAGAACCTGACATCAAACGTTCCTCGCTTTCCTGAAAAAAACTCTTCTACCTCAAGTTAAACCATGTATATGCTGCATACTACTAGTATGACAAACAAAATATTGAAATTACACTTAAATTCTATATTTATCTGTCTTAATACACGGATTTATAAATTTAAAAATACCATTATTCATTTCTATGTTGTTTTTCTGTCGATTATACATGTACTTATGAACTTCTGGCAAACCCTTTGAACAAATTATCAGCTAACAATGCAATTTGTTGCAAAGATTTAGCAACTGGTATTAATTTTGCTAAATTCAAACAGATCTATTAAAACAGTTTTGTGAAAGAAACAACTATTAACAAACATTTTTTTAAGTTAACTTACAGTCAGTTTTGGTCCTTCTCCTTCCTTTACAAGATATTTTGGCAGTGAATCTCCTAATATTCGTTTGAGTGTATCAAGAAGTCCAGGCGCTTTTGCAAGGCCAATTGCATATTCATCACTACAATCACTGAAGTTGTGCAACGTCAGGAGGCTAACTGTTAAAGGCACAGTCATACTTTCATCTTCATTTCCGTCTTCATTACGCCACCCGTTCCTATATGTATTCATTACAATTTCACAGCTCAAATTGATATATTTAGTTTCCATCATTAATTTTGCTATTTCTTTCCTAAATTTGTGTAAAGTTATTCGATCTGCTTTTTTCAAAGCATAGTAACTATTGAAAAATATATTAGGAGCATTATAGATCTCTGTAACAAATGCTCTTTGTTGTTGAATCTGAAGTGCCAGTACTTTTTCTGCGGTATTTCTGAGGTTATCTAATTCTTTTAGTTCTTCGTCTGTCATCCATTCTTGTTCTTCGTTTGTCACTTCGTTTGTCATCGATTCATTGTCAATTTTCTGCTCTCTAATTCCAGCCTCTTCAATGTCTGTACTTTTGTCGGTTCCATTATCTTTGTCACCAACAATATCTTTCTGTTTATTCAATGTTAACTTTGTAATAAAAGGTGCAGGAGGAGGAGTTAGAATATCATTTGTAGGCGGAGCTTCAAAATGGTCACCAGGAAGAGTGGATACAATACCTTTGGAAGGAGGAGCTTCAATAGGATCAATCTTTAGACAGTGAGAAGAGGATTCATCTTTTTCTGTACATTCTTCAGTTTTTCTTTCAGACCTTTCTTTCTTTTCTAATTCTGTTTTGATAAAGTTTGTATTTCCAGTGCAAGACACCGAAGATCCCATTGCAATGTCGTCCTATTTGAAATAAGAAGATTAAAATGAAAGTTCATATTATAACTGGAAAATTAGCGTTACAAAATTAATTAAAACAGCAGAAAATTCTGAACAAAATCACCCAAATCTCTTTTCTTATTTAAAAAAAACGCTACAATATTTCAAACTACTTGACAAGTTGATGAAAGCATGCAGAGTAATAATGATTCTTGATTTTTAAACAATATTGGGGTTTGTTTTTTAAAGGGTTTGTTTTTATCAAATACAGAAATTATATAATCCATATTAACTTTTGTACAATTTAACAAATAAATGGAAACTTTAACACTGCAGACTTCTTAATTCAATGAAAATGGCACCTGCCTTTCAGATTTACATTTAGTACGTATTAAGTTTTTACACAAAAAACAGGGAGAAAGGGGACACATGCACTTAACCGGTATTAAGAATTACATGTATACTTGATGTGTTGATAACTAGCACCCTTAATTACAGCGATGGCTAATCACATGTAAATGTGTAAAGCTATTCTTTTTTGTTGAAAATTCAATTGCAATTCTGTTTCATATGTGTGACTCCTGACACCACAACGGTTTTCGTAAAAACATAATTTAGTCGCTATTCTGCACAGTGGTAAAACACGATAATTTTTGGCGACTATATGTAGTATACAATTAACATACCATACAAAGAAAGAGCATTTGATTATTTACAGTAATTACAATAACAAACAAGACAATGACAGTTTTTACTTAGTGATGCTCCCCGAATAAAGTGTTAACAAAGAGAAGTAGTTTCTACATAAAGCATTTACCGAATTCGCTAGCCTGCACCAGCCCGCATAACTTCATCGGTTAGAGCACTATACTTGTAATTTTGACATTATGAGTTCGAGTCCAAGACCGACCAACTTCAATTACTAACGAGACTTTAAATAGAGGTCCCGTCTATACACACACACGCGCGCGCACGCACGCACGTACGTACATACACATTACCAAAATCAGCATAAAGATATTATGTTAACTGTTTAAATATGCATTGTAGAAAATGTTACTTATTGACATCTCTAATGCTGTCAGGTGATTGTCCCGTGTAAAAATAAAAAGATGTAATTTCTCCAAAATTAGACAAAACAGAGTTAAAGTTCTTTTGCACTTCATTTCTAATAAATGAGAGACTTTAATAATTTTTCAAAAAAGCAAACAAATAAACGGGCAAAAAGTCTTTAAAAACAAGTTTAAAGGTAAAATAAAGTTTTCTTTCTTCAATTTTAATAGGTCCGTCTAGTCACACTTGTTGTTTTGTCCATGTATGAGTCCTTTCCATGAATAAATGGCACAGTTAAGATTACATAATCAAAATTCAATCGTGTGACGGTCAAGACCATTTCATGTCAAAGTCATTTCTGAATTATTCCGCATGTCTGTTTCGTCACAAGTGTGGTGTCCGTTCATATATAACAAAATTGTGACAACTTATCCAAAATCCAATACTTTGACAGTCAATGCATTTAAAGTTCAAGGTCAAGGTCGGTTCAACCTCATATAAAATCTTGTGCAATGTGTTGTTTGTTTAAGTATGACAATAATACATTGTTAAGTTACAAAGTTACAGCCAATTATAGAAGTAATCGGTGACATTATAATAATTTGACCTTCAATGTCATACATGAGTCTATGTCAATTTAAGTTTGATATACATTGACAGTCTGACCTTAAAGTTGTAGTGTCTTAATATATAGGTAATCCATAGATAAATAACAAAGTTATTGTCAGATTCAAAAACAATATCATTTTATTTTGACGGTTACGGTCAATGTAAGGTTAAGGTCATGAATATATTTGTTAAAAAGCATGTCTTTTTTCCAAATTTAAAAAAAATAAAATCCGTACACATATAACAAATTTTGACAATTTAATCAAAATTAAAAGCTCAAGGCCAGGGTATGTTCAACCTTTTAGAAGGTCTTGTACAAAATGTTGTTTCGTCATCCATTTACTAATTAGTAAGTTACAGACACTTAAAGCAAAATATAGTGAGAATAAATCAATTTTCAAAGTCAAAGTCCAAAAGAGTCAAGGTTAGTATCAATACATGAAGTTCTTGTCCTAAAAATGTTATGTTATAGACTGAAGTAAATTTATTCACTTATTCCAAAATTATAGCCAGCTACAAAAAAAGAGATGAGAATTCCAATAATAATAACCTTTTATATGGTCAAGGTCATTTATGAGTAAAGATAAAGGTCTGTCTGGTTAGTTGTCTTGAAGGCTATCCTAAAAAAATATTATGTTTAAGTTTGAAGACATTACATTTACAAATAGCCAAATTATAACCACTTTTATGTTAAGGTTAGCCTTGTCTACTGAAAGGTCTTGTTCTAAGGGTTGTTGTATGAATCAATACACCAAGAACTGAAAAAGTTATGATCAAGATACAAGTTTGTGGAAGGCGACTGGGGGCAACGCCGACGCGACTGTGACTTACTTACTTACTGGCGTTCGCTCTACACGATCACGCCAGTATCCGCGATGAAGGTTGTGGTCCGCCGCAGGTCCTCATCTTCTCCGTACAGCTTCTGCTGGAGTGTTGCACCTCGGGGCCACGTTGCTCCTCGCTCCTGGTCGTGTCTTTTGCATCTTTGGAGGATATGCTCTTTAGTCTGGTCCTCTTCTCCACAGGGACATATGGGGGACGGCACCAGTTTGTACTTCCTGCACATGTGTGCATTCAGTCTGTTGTTTCCCGAGCGAAGCCTGACCATCACCACTTGTTCTGGTCGGTTTAGCATGTGGTAGGCATCCGCTTCCTGTCTTGTCTTGGTGAGAGCCTTGATGATGGTGGCTTTCTCCTTGTATGTCACCTGGTTATCTGGTTGCTCCAACTGGGCTCCTAACCTAGCCAGCTTGTCGGCCTCCTCATTTCCGGGCACTCCACAGTGAGATGGTATCCACTGAAGTGCAACATTACAGGACGACCCAAGCTTGTTCACGGCTTGCGCTAGTTCAGGGACATTGTTGTTTTGTAGGGCCTCCAGAACTGATCTTGCATCTGTGAGGAAGACTACAGATGTGATCTCTTCTGGCGAGTTTTCTATCAAAAAGACTGCCTTCGTGAGTGCCTCAGTCTCTGCTCTGAAATTGCTGCAGTGCTTCCCAGTGGCGATGTAATGGGCTGTTTTCTGGCCTGACGGGTACGTTATGTAAATACAACCGCCTCCATCCTTAACGGCTCTAGTGGCTGACCCATCTGTGTATACATGGGTCCATGTGTCCGAATGATAGTCTGCGTAGATAGCCGCGAGTGTCAGACTTCTACGGATGGTCTCATTTTCCTGTTTGCCCATGTCTAGTCCAGGAATAGCAAGTGCAACTTTGACTGCAGACAGGTCATTTGCTGTAGGGTTGGTGATGTCTGCTCGGCCCAAGGGAATTGTCTGAGTGTTTAGTTCAGCTGCATGCTCTCTACTCAGCTTCTTTGCTTGATGTACAAAGCTGCAGCGCTTGAGGCGGTTCTTGGTGAATCCCTCAAGTCTGCTGTTCATGGGTGGTCTGGGAGGGACTGGTACTTGTTTGCCTGGAGAAGGACCTTGGTTTGTCTTTTTTCGTGGAAGTGTTTGAATTCCGGTCAGTTTCTCCATGAAGGCGATTGGTGTAGACTTGGTGGCCCTGTGATGATACGAAGTGCCTGGTTCTGTACTTTATCCAGGGCTTGCTGGTTTGTCTTGGCTGTTGTGGACCATGTGGCTGAGCTGTACTCCATGGTGGGTCTTACTGTGCCTTGATATACAGTCTTCAGTATTTGCTCATTTGTACCCCAGGTTGTCCCAGCAAGTTTTCGCATCATCCCAAGTTTCCTTCGTGCCGTCCCTTCTACACGGCTGATGTGTGCTTTCCAAGTCTGCCGCTTGTCAAAGGTGACCCCAAGGTATGTGGCTTCGTCTTCCTCCTTCAGTGGAGTTCCAGCCAACATGACCTTCCCAGCTCTCTGCTTTGTTGACAAGGTGAACAGTGTGGTGGACGACTTCTCTTTGTTGATCGTGACACACCAGTATTCGGCCCATGCTGCGAGTTTGTCCATAGCTCTTTGCATTCTGTATGTGGCCGTAGAGGCGTGTTCTTCTTTTGCACCATAGCACCAGGTCGTCAGCATAAAGAGCAGCATGAACTCCCTTAGGCAGTTCAGACACCAGGTCGTTGATGAAGACCAGAAAGAGTGTCGGGGACAGGACACCACCCTGTGGGACGCCATGCGTAGCAGGAACTTCCACTGTTGATTGGTTCAGGCTGACTCTGGCTCTTCTATTAAACAGATAAGAGTTGATCCATTTCAGCATGGCCCCTCCAACTCCATTCCTCATGAGCTTTACTTGTAGCCCTTCTGTCCAGACTTTGTCGAACGCTCTTTGTAGGTCAATCCATGCTGTAAGACCCACCTTTTGCTCTTGGAATGCGTCTTCGACTTCCTGCGCTAGGTATGTAGTCTGGTCTTCTGTGGAACGGAATTGCCGGAAACCAGCCTGTTCAGATGCCAGCAGGTCATTGGTCTCCAGGTACCACTTCAGGCGTGCCTTCACAATCCTCTCCATGGTCTTAACAACACAGCTGGTGAGGCTGATTGGACGGTATCTGGCTGCCTTTTTTGGGTCCTTCCCTTTCTTCAGTATAGGGATCATCGTTGCCTCTCTCCAAATCTGTGGTAGCTGCCCTTGTTTCCAGCTGTAGTTGTATATGTCTAGGAGTTTGCACATTGCTGTATTGCCCAGGTGTGTCAGCATCTCATTTGTGATTCCGTCAGGACCGGGAGATTTTTTGGTCTTTAGTTGCCTGAAAGCTGCCTGAACCTCATGAAGCGTCAGGCGCGAGTCCATGCACTCTGACGTAACCTTAGGTGTTTTTCCTGTCCTTTGTCTCTTCTTGCTTCCCTCAGTCGTTCACTGTGATAGGGATGTCGCTGACATCTTTGTAGTTTGGGCAAAGACGTTTGCTGCTTGTTTGCCCACCAAC